AGGCCAAAGGTAATAGAAGGATTTAAATTTTTTTCTGTGTTCTCCCCTCTAGCACTTCTGGATTTCAGTTCTGGAACTGTTACAAGAGCTCAGATTATCGAAGTGGCATTTTGTAATTCACCATACCTAGGAGTATGTGCTTTTCTCTGGCCAGGAAGTCTGTGCCTCTGGCTGTTTAGTCCGCAGTGATACCTAGGAGAACCATCTGCACTGAGCCTGTCCCCAGGCAGCAGTGGACACTGCCTCTGACATCAGCGGATCTTCAGCCGCTGGATGCTGAAGAGAGGAACCTTTCTCTCTCTCAGATCCACAGGAATACATCGAATGTGAAAAACCTCTTACCTTAGGATGCCAAAGATCATTTCACTGCTGACTGCGTTGAAGCGTCGCTCCTGCTCCACAAGGAGATTGTGCCTCAGTGTGCAGCAGTCAGTGGGCACTTGGGCCTTTTGAGTCCACAGCAAAAAAGTGCAGCAAAATGGTTTTCATAGTTGTTCCTCGGTGAAATTGATAACTCTCACCTTCTCTACTCTGGGATGGGGAACAGAGTAGTTCCAGAAAGGTCACTTAGCTGCGGTCCTCATCTGTTACTCTGAAACCTACCTTCCTGTAAGACCTTTTCCACTTTTCTCCCTCATTGTTAGTGCGCCTCTTGCCCAGCTACAACGTGCTCTTCTTGAATCCCCAAGAAAGTTGTGGGTTACATGTTGTCCTTGCATATTTTAGGTGCAAGTTATTTGTAGTCATTTTTACTGCTGTTTATTACACAGGTGACTTCAGCATATGACGGCAGCTTCTGGTCTATATTTTGTGGAAAACTTACATAACAGGAAAAGCCTCAGGGGTTAGTTTTTAGGCTGAAAAACTTAGAAAGTAGAGTGATCAATGGTCGTATAGATTTTATTGGATCTTCATTATCAGAAGTAAATGTGCAACCATCACCCTTATACAGGGTAGTATTAATTTTTATTAGAGAATTCAGAAATCTATAAATGTGCATTATTTCTAAAATTATTTTAAGGTGCCCAGCTGGTGTGGCTCAATGTTTGAGTGTTAGCCCACGCACTGAGAGGGCACTGGTTCGATTACCAGTCAGGGCGCATGCCCAGGTCACAGGATCCATCCCTAGCAGGGGGCGTGCAGGAGGCAGCTGATTGACATCGATGTTTCTCTCTCGTTGATGTTTCTACCTCTCTCCCTCTCCTTTCCTCTCTAAAATCAGTTTTTAAAAAACAACATAAAATAATTCTAAGGAGAAGAATAATCATTTGGTTTCTAACTGAATTATGTTTGTCATGAGTTATTTGTCACAAGTAATCTTCAGTCCATGTTTATGGATTATGTCCTCCTCTGTGCTATTGCCAGGTGGTCAGGGACCACCTCAGGGGTCTACTGCTGATATCTGTAGATTCATGATAGGACAGAGCTACCAGCTGAGGATTCTTACCTTTTTCCTTAGATAGGAAACAGTGATAGTTTTGTCTTCACATTAATTTTTGTGTTTTCACCCTGGCCAATTTGGCTCAGCGGTTAGAGTATTGGCCTGCGGACCAGGGAGTCCCGGGTTCGATTCTGGCCAAGGCCACGTACCTCGGTTGCTGTTCATCCCTGGCCCCAGTTGGAGTCCTACGGGTGGCAACCAATCGATGTGTCTCTCACATTGATGTTTCTTTCTCTCTTTCTCTCTCTCTCTCTCTCTCCACCCTCCCTCCTTTCCTCCCTCCCCCACCTCCCTCCCACTCTGTCTGAAGATAAATGTAAAAATATCCTCGAGTGAGGATTTAAGAAAAATTAATTTTTGTGTTTTCAATAGCACCTCACAGCTTGAAGTCACACATTTCATAAACCATATTTATGCTGCACCAAGGGAAAGATGGATGTGAAGGAGAGGGAAAAAACTACCAAAACTTTAAAAGCTTACTTATCAACTCTTGCATGGCTTCAATTTTTAATAAGTCTTAATGAGTTCACAGATACTGTCCTTTAGAAGAGAGAGACCCATATAACCCATTGCTGCCATCTGCATGTTACATTCAGTTACAGTGTATTTCTGGAATGGTAAGAAAAAAAATTGTTTTGAATGGAAAAAGGAAGAAGGATGTGATTATCAAGTAGCTGTTTAGTTTGCAAGATAGCTTGTGCTATTGTTACTATGAAAAATTCATTGTTGTGGGGAGGTAGGAATAAATACAAGGTCCTTTTACCTTGGGAAAGAAAAATTGTTATATGTACAGATTATAAAATACTAAACCATGCTTAATTAGTTCTTTCTTAGTTTCCATTTTCATTGTGTTCACTGTTTGTGTTTTCTTAACTAGCTAGCTCATGTGAGAATTTTAGTATTTACTTAGTATTCAAAATATGTTGAAAGTAAGTATCTACCAAGAATTAAATGGAATTTCACAAAATCTTCATTCTGATTTTTTTTTTAAGTGATAAAGCCAGCAATCTTTGAAATAGCTGCTAGGGAAACTATGAAAAGTACCTAGAAGTATTAATAATTATTCCTATTTAATATATTTACATGTTTATATTTCTTTTAAAAACTGACATGCTAGTTTAAAATCCTTACTATCTCTATAATGTTATTTACTTGTCCATATTACTTAAATATGTAGAATGATAAAGTAAATAAGATTAGGATTGATCGTACAGCTCACCTCCCTGTAGTACATTGGAATCCAGCCCTTAGCACAAGGTCTGGCATGCAGTTGGTTGCTTAATACATTTTTATAGTGAATGAACAAATATAGTAATACAATTTTTAAGATAAGTGACATTTTCTAAATAAGGGATATTTGAAAATTAAGAGAATAAATATTTTGCACAAATCATTTTATATTTTGTCAAATTGGAGATATATTGCAGGGGTAGGTAATGTTCAAATTGAGAGAAGTTAATCTATTAACCGGCAATTGGAAGGTTTTCACATAGACCAAAAGCAAAGCTAATTTATAGGTTCCCTTTATTGTGTTACCACTGGCAAGCCTAAGGAGTATTTCTAAAGGTATTGAGAATGTTACATTTTATTTATTAAACTGTTGCATAAAAAATGACCCTGGCTGGGTTGCTAAGGGGTTAGAGCATTGGCCCACGGACCAGTGAGTCACAAGTTCGGTTCCAGTCAAGAGCACGTACCTTGGTTGCAGTTCGGTCCTGGCCCAGGTCAGGGTCGTGTGGGAGGCAACAAGTCAATGTTTCTCTCTCACATAGATGGATGTTTCTCTCTGTCTCTCTGTCTCTCTCTCTCTCTCTCTCTCTCCTTCTCCTTCTCCTTCTCTCTCTCCTTCTCCTTCTCTCTCTCCCCCTCCCTCTCACTCTATCTGAAGATAAATAGAAAAATATCCTCGGGTGAGGATTAAAAAAAACTGACCAGTAAAGAAAATGTAATGTTGCTAATTCTTCTGATAATCAAAGTGAGGTTTTTTTATTATCCCAATTCATTAACATATGGGAAAAGAACATTTGGCCCTGGCCAGTTTGGCTCAGCGGTTAGAGCGTCGGCCTGCGGTCCAGAGAGACCCGGGTTCGGTTCCCGCTAAGGGCACGTACTTCGGTTGCAGTTTGTCCCCGGCCCTGGTTGGTCATGCGGGTGGCAGCCACTCGATGTGTCTCTTCACGTCGATGTTTCTCTCTCTCTCTCTCTCTCCCTTCCTCTCTCTCCCTCCCACTCTATCTGTACAAAAAATGGAAAAATATCCTCGGGTGAGGATAAAAAAAAAAAAAGAGAAAGCAATCTAGGAGAATATCATGATCACAAGAGTGTATAAGGATTTCTTAAGACACAACACAAAAGGAAAACAAACTGATAAGTTTACTAATGTTCAAATTTAAAACATATTTCCCAAAAAGAAAAACCCAAACCACCACAGTGAAAAGAACTGGGAAAAAATATTAATGGCAGGTATAATTTTAGAAGAATTGACAAGAATCTCTATAGAACTCCCATGACTCAGTAAAGAAAGAGCCCAGTAGAAAAATGGGCAAAAGATATGAACAGGCAACTCCAAATGGCCAATTAACATGAAAAGAGGCTTAACCTCATCATTACTCAGAGAATGAGAATTACAGCTAAAGTTAGAGCCTATTTCATATTCTCTACTTCACAATGATAGCAATTTAAAGATATGTTGGCAAAGATATCAAGCAACCAGAACACATAGCCACTTTTAGAGGGGAAATTGGAACAACATTTCAGAAAATCATTTGGCAATATCTACTCAAGTTAAAGATGTGCCAGCTCTAAGCCTCAGGAATTCCACTTGTGTGTACACCAGATAAACTCATGTGTATGGGTACCAAGAATGTTCACAGCAGCCTATTAGTAGCAAAAAACTGGAGGGAGTCCAAATTCCAACAGCATTAGATAAATCAGTGTATGGCTCTATAATGGAATATTGTATAGCAATGAAAAAGGATGACTTACAGTTAACAGCAACAAGGAAGGACTTAGAAACAAAATGTAAAGAAGAAATCAAGTTATTGAAGAATACATAAATATGACTACATATATCTTTAGGCATACAAATAAATGTAAAGCCATAAAGAAAAGCAAGGGAATGACAGGCACCGAATTCCAGAAATGTTTACTTGGAAAGAGGAAGGAAATGCGACGGGGGATGAAACAGCTGGCACACTGGGGACTACAAACAGTAGGATTGTTCTTGTTCTATAATGGATATGTTTGTGTAATTTTTTATACCTTACATTTATTTTATAATACTTTACATTGATTTTTATTATTTGAATCTGTGCGATATTTAATAAAGCTAATTACTTTTCAAATAAGTACAAGTTGAAGAATTTAGCATATGAATAATAGGATACCTATTCCTGTATACCTGCAAAAAAAAACTATACTTTTTGCGGGGAGGGGGAAGGCAAATTATAATGAGTTCTATCCCATCGCTTATGTTTAGTGATTTAAATTTTCTTTTGTTAAAGGTTTTTCTTTTTTCTTTTTTCTTCCATTCTCTCTGCCTGCTGTTTCTAATTTGTAGGAGAGATTTGAAGCACTTTTCACCATCTATGACGACCAGGTTACATTTCAGCTGTTTAAAAGCTTCAGAAGAGTCAGGATAAATTTCAGCAAGCCGGAAGCAGCAGCGAGAGCGCGGATAGAGCTCCATGAAACAGACTTCAATGGGAAGAAGCTGAAGCTGTATTTTGCACAGGTGCTGCATAGAGCCAAGGAGACTGATCTCTAATCTTATTCCTCTCCATCCAAAAATATTAGCAGTTCTCCATTTTCTATATTCCATCGAGTTCTTGAAATGATCAATCCCAATCAGCAAATAATGTGAAAAAATTGTTTCCTTTATTTTACAGATGTATGCATTTATGTATTAAGTGTATTCACCCTCCCTAACTTTGTTTTGCTTAGACTGATAGTTGACAGATTTCATTTCCCTGGCAGCTTTTCTCATCGGGGTTTCATAAGGATTAAACCCTAACACCTGAAGATTAGTCAATTAACTTTTCTCCTAACATCTAGAATGGTATTTGTGCTGTGACATCCTTGGGAGATTTGAGAAAATATCTGAAATCATTTCTGTTTTCTGTCATTTATATGAGACTCCCCATGGCCTCAGGGGTGACCAGGGAGGTGGCATAGACTGTACCACAGGCTGTCTTAGAGGTTGAAATGGCAAAGGATCTTGTAGGTTACCTAGAATTGGCTATACTTATTCTATTTGTTCCTGTGACTCTGAGAAACCAATAAAGGCATTAGATCTCTGCTACTGTATTAAGTACACTGTTTTGTTTTCAACACATTATTCTTTTCTTGGTCTTAGCTTTCAAGTAAAAAAAAAAAAGAGGCTTGTTATCTCACAGTCCAAATGAAAACCTCAATGAAAGGTGCCTAGACATTTCTTGGTGGAGTTGATTGATATGGAGACGAATAACCTAATTTCTTCTAAAATTTGAATGTAGTGCTTACTGTCATTCATTCATCTATTCATCAGTTTATTTTTTTTATTCAACTGATTTATTGAGCATCTGATTTGTGTGGGCTCAGTTCTGTGCACCAAGTGTTCAGTGGTGAACCAAACAGACCTAGACTTAGCCACTGGGAGATGCAGACTGTTAAAGAGAAAATTTTCATTTTCTCCAAAGAGATATAGTAATTAATGTAAAGATGAAAATGAAAAAATAGTCTGGTCACAAACTTTTAGTATCTTCCCTGCAGGTACAGGTATCCAGTGAAACACGGGACAAATCGTATCTGCTGCCACCCCAGCCAGTCAAACAGTTCCTCATCTCCCCCCCAGCGTCTCCTCCCGTGGGCTGGAAGCAGGGTGAAGATGCCATGCCTCTGTTAAATTATGATCTACTCTGTGCCGTTTCCAAATTGGGACCAGGTAACAATTTCCTGTTTTTTTTCCCCAAAGAAACTTGTATTAAAGACCATCATCAGCAATTTGTGTTCTAGCCAACTAGTGGCAACATGATCAGAGTGGAGAATAAAGTTACACAAGCCTGGGTTCACTAGCATTTGCTAATTTTGTGATCTTTGTTGTTTTTTAATTATTTATTTTAGGAGACTTTTTCTTTTAATCCTCACCCAAGGATACTTTTTCATTTATCTTCAGATAAGTGAGAGAGAGAAAGAGAAAGAGAGAAACATCGATATGAGAGAGAGACATCGATTGGTTGCCTCCTACACGACCCCAACCGGGCCTGGGGACCGAACCATAACCGAGGTACGTGCCCTTGACCAGGATCAAACCCAAGACTCTTCGGTCCACGAACTGACACTCTAACTGCTGAGCCAAACTGGCCAGGGCTAATTTTGTGATCTTGACCAAGTTACTTAGCTTCCAATCTTCTCAGCCTCTGTTTTCTCATCTATATAATAGGGATCATAATAGCTACCTTTCAGTGTGGTTATAGGATTAAATTATATATGCATAATAATAAATCTAACTGCAATTTTTACTGCTACAAATTCTACTGGTACATAACAGGCCAATGGTATTAGTTTGCCTTCTCCCCTGCTCCATCAAAGTATCAGACAGACAGCTTTTCCTTTGAATAGTATTTCAAGGAATTACCATATCATCCCTTCCAAATTCTTCTCTATTTTCCTTCTCTTGTATTTCTTTCAGTCATTCCTTTAAAATAATATAAGAAATCAATGCCATCCATTGCTGGTTCAGACTAATTGTCTGCCTACAACAGTGTTATGTCTGTCATAGCAGATAAAAGAATCATTTTGAGGGGAAATGGCTTTGTTTTGCTTTAGACATTAGAGCTGGATCTTGCATGTCTGAGGTTCTATAATAAAGAGATTGCCCGTGCTGTCTGGAACATTGCGCTTGTCTCCCAGGGGACAAAACTATTCTGAAGTTAAGAGATTCATTTGTTCTGTTCATAGAATAGTAATTAGCATTTTAACTCCCAGACCTCAGTTCTCCTTACCAGCTTCTTTCTTTTTTTTCTTTTAAAGTTGTTTGTTTTTTTAAATCATTACCACTTTTTTTAGAGAGAGAGAGAAACATCTTTGTGAAAGTGAAATATCAGTCGGTTGCCTCCTGCATGCCCCACGCTAGGGATCAAGCCTACAACCTGGGCATGTGCCCTGACTAGGAATCAAACCAGTGACTTTTCGGTGCAGGGGCTGACGTCCAGCCAACTGAGCCACACTGGCCAGGGCATTGAAACTGCAAAACTTCGTAAGAACCTGAAAGAATCAAAGTTCTAATGCCAAAACAAGATAAAGTAATCTAACATAAGATTTAAAGATTTAAAAGTCAATAATCAGCAATTAAAGTGTGAGTAGAACAAGAAGTTTCAAGAGACAAAAACACTTCTTTTTGCTGTTTACTCCACAGGAGAGAAATATGAACTTCATGCAGGAACTGAGTCGACACCCAGCGTGGTGGTTCACGTCTGTGAAAGTGAAACTGAAGAAGTAGAAGAAACAAAAAACCCCAAACAGAAAATTACCCAGACAAGGCGCCCTGAACCTCCAACCACAGCACTGAGTGAGCCCCCGACTTTTGACTGTGCGCTGTGAGGCCTTTGTGATGGTTTGAGGCTGCTGCCATCGTGGGTGCCAGTCACAGAGATGGCGCCCCTCCTGCGGGCGCATTGCTGCTAGTGGTGTGGGTGAGCTAAGCAGGGATGAGACGCAGTGTGCTCACCAAGCCTGCGCTGTGGCCATGGCCATCTAGAGTAGAGGCTGATAGTCTGAACGCACTTGAAAGGGTTAGCCCCCAACACGCAGCATCTCTTGACCATTTTTAAACAGCAGCAAATTAGGAACACAGCCCCCTCCAGGAATGTCCCTTTCCCTGATTCCGTGTAGCATGGGGTACCCAAAATTAAAGCTATAGTCATCGAATGCAGTACCATTTTTATGAATTTAAAAGTAGTCTTACAATTTTAATAATCTAGTGTGGGTATTTTTGTACTGGTATAATAGCTTCTAACTAAATATCCTAATCAAAGGTTACTTGTTATTCAGTATACCTGAAATTTTTTGCACGAAAAGAAATCTGAAATACAGAATAATTCATAGAAAATTATTTCTCTCCAGTATTTTTTTTTTCTCTAACCTTGGGGAAGAAATGCCAAATTCACTTTGACTATCAGAATCACATGGCACAAATCTATGTGCACATTGTTCTCTTGGAATTAAAGGAAAGTGATACACACACCACTATCCTCATGCGTCGTCCCTCCCAGAGAAAGAGCTGCTGCTTTGGATGGGGGATATATCGCCAGTGAGCTTGACTGATTGTGATTCAGGTGGCAACTGCGGTCTGCCACTTGTGACCATGTCCTAGCCTGTAGCATCCCAAACTGTCTTCAGCCACCTGTTAAGTTTTTCTGTGCTATATATATTTGTGTGCATCATTCGTAGAATTTAAATTAGAGAAGGTAATGGTAAGCTTTTCTGTAGACCATTTTAAAAGTGTTCATTTAAATATTTTTCAGCTTGAAAGAAAAGTCACACATACTCCATTTCTATGAATTAGGGAAAGATGGGGGAGATCATTTTGGTAGTTAGACTTTTCTTTTTTGGTGAAATTTTTACCCTGGCTTACAGCAGGCATTTTTCCCTAAAACATAATTGTTTCTCATTTATGTTTCAGAGAAGGTAGTTGAAGCTCCTAAAGTAGAAGCAAGGATTTTTAAAAATTATCTGGGGTCTATTCAGACTTTGAAGTTTTTTTTTTTATAGAAAAGTCTCATAACTAAATGATTTGCTTTTGGTTGGGCGACTCTGATGGTTCTCTGCTAAACTGCTGTATGGCAAACGTCTGGAGCACCTGGTATGTATGTGAGCGGTTACGCATGTGAGTTTAGACTAATACAATGTGGCTACTACTACAGAGAGAGAAAAATGCAGAAATGCAGGCCATGATGTCTATACATTTTTGGTAACATGTTATAGTGGTTTAGATGTTCTTATCATAGTAGAATTTATTTCTGAGGACTTAAACTATATTACAAAAAACAAAACAACAACAACAACAACAAAAACCGTTTTGTCTGTTTTCCTTGCCCTGAAATACTCTGAGTGATAAACTCTTCTATTTATATATATCTACCACTGCTAAGCTTCCATGTAAATTCAGGTCAGATCTGTGATTTCATAAGTAATTTATTAAATTAAAATCATTTGGGCCCTGGCCGGTTTGGCTCAGCGGTTAGAGCGTCGGCCTGCGGTCCCGAGAGACCCGGGTTCGGTTCCCGCTAAGGGCACGTACCTCGGTTGCAGTTTGTCCCCGGCCCTGGTTGGTCGTGCGGGTGGCAGCCACTCGATGTGATCCTTTCACATCGATGTTTCTCTCTCTCTTCCTCTCTCCCCCTCCCACTCTACCTGAACAAAAAATAGAAAAATGTCCTCAGGTGAGGATAAAAAAAAATAAAAAAAAAAATCATTTGGCAGTTGAACTGACAGCTACTAAATTCAGCTTTTTGCCAGTTTTAATCTTATCTGGTTGTATTAACTTACCACTGCAGAACTTACCTTGGACCCTATAAGCCAAGAAATGTAGGGATTGGGGATTTTTAAATTTCCTTTTTGGTAATTTATTTACTGTAATTTTCTAAGTGATCAAAATCCATGTTTTATTATTTTGCTTGGTTTTTACTCTACCTTCCAGTTAAGAAAGAATGTCATGCCCTTAACATATAAAATATTTTAAAAAGTCAAGCAGCCCTGGCCGATTTGGCTCAGTGGTGTCGGCCGCAGACCAAAGAGTTATGGGTTCGATTCTGGTCAAGGGCATGTACCTTGGTTGTGGTTCGTCCCCGGCCCTGGTCGGGGTCGTGCAAGAGGCAGCCAGTTGATGTGTCTCTCTCACGTCGATGTTTCCCTCTCTCTCTTTCTCTCCTTCCCACTCTTATCTGAAGATAGATAGAAAAATATCCTCAGGTGAGGATTAAAAAAAAGGTCAAGCAGTGTAGCCTGGCTGGGTAGTTCAGTTGGTTAGAGCACTGTCCCGATATGCCAAGGTTGCAGGTTCGATCCCCAGTCAGGGCACATACAAGAATCAACCAATGAATGCATAAATAAGTGGAACAACAAATCAATGTTTCTTTCTCTCTCTCCCTTCTTCTCTTTCTTAAAAAAAAAATAATAATAACAGTTTTTTTCAAAAGTCAAGCAGTCAGTGCAATGAAGGCCTGGGGGTGGGTGGGAGGGAGGTGGAGGGGGTCAGTGTGGGGGAAAAGGTGGTACATCTGTAATACTTCAAACAGTAAAGATAAATTTTTTAAAAATAGTCAAGCAGTGCAAATTACCCAAAGTTTTTGTTCTCCGTTCTTTTTTTTTTTGAGAGTATTAAATGAATTGAAGAAAAACTTAAACCAAAATTAAATATACACATATAATTCTTTAATATATATTAAAACTTTTCTGAATGGGGGAATTAATATTTTCATTCTTTCTAGTACAATATTTTTATAAGATGAACTCTAAAAGAAAAACCACTAAATGCCCCTTAACTTTTTAACACTGTAAAGTCAACCAAGACCTCAATAGGTTTTCTGGTCTCTGTCCTTTTTGTCTATTTTATATCCAGTTTATGTAACTATTTGGAAGAGATGAGTCTCTGTGTTTTGGTTTTTTTTTTAAGTTCCTTTAAAGAAGTTAGTTTACATCTTTTCTTCTTTGAAATTGAGTTATTACTTAGATTTAATTATAGTAATCATAACCTCTTCAGAAATCATAACCTCTTCTTGGGAATCAAATTATTATTATTTTTAAATATCTTTTTATTGATTTTCTAGAGAAAGAGGAAGAGAGAGATAGAAACATTGATGGGCTGCCTCCTGCACACCCCCTACTGGGGATGGAGTCCGAAACCCCAGGCATGTGCCCTGACCAAGGATGGAACTGGATGGGACCTCTCAGTTCATGGAACGACGCTCAGTCCACTGAGCCACAATGGCCAGGTGGGAATCAGATTATTTAGATAATTGTGAGGAAGAAAAGGAGGCTTTGGTTAGGAAGAAGCATTGGTGAAGGAGTCCTGTGAGGAAGCATTTGCTCTTACGTTCTAGGTTCATACCCACCTGATAAAAAGTGTGCTGGTGTAAGAGGCAGAAATGCTGAGAACAGTTCCCTTGGAGAGCTGAAAATCAGGTGGAAAGCAAAGGAATCTTTTCGCAGTCTGCTTCTTCAAAAATGTTATTTACTAAAACCTATCAATAATTAAAGTCAAATAAAAGCTACCGGGAACTTTCAAGTTTAACATAAAGGTTGACATAGAACATTGTGGTTTATAGGATGTTTCCAGAGAAGATCCCGGGAGACTGAAGTCAGGCGCAGCACTTTCATTCTTTTAGAAAACAGTCCTTTTGTTTCCTTTTCACATTAATTCCATCCTATAAAAATGTTGTGATATATAAGTTGGGCCTGAGCTTTGCTGGCCAGGCTGCACTGATGCCGCTGCTGAAGCAAAAATAGGGTAGGCGTTACTGGTCCCATCTACAAGTGGAAAGCCTTCGCTGAAGGAGGCCCAGCGGCAGCGCCAAAGCTACGCAGATCATGCTGAGGTCAGGAGAGATCAGGAACCCTGGTGCCAGAATCTAGTCTGACGCAGGCCCTGCAGGAAGAGGACAGCAGTCCACCAGCCGGTAGCCTCTCTCCACACCCCTCCAGGGTAAGCGGTCCCAAGCTTCCTAAAGTCACTGTGGGGCTGGGAACCTTGGGCATCTGGAAGCGCTGGCCCTGCCCTGTGCCTCCTCCAGGCTCTATAGGCTCCGTGGGCTGGGGCAGGGCCGCACACAGCCCATGTGATGGAGTCAGGCACCGTGGGCTCAGCGTGCTGCTGGCGGTAACTGCTGGGTGCGCTGGGAGCTCCTGGGGCTGCCTTGGTGGGGAGTTACCCCCGCCTAATGGGATACAGTGAATAAGGTGATGAAAAATCTTAGGTGAAGTCATTATCTTGGTAATTTTAATTAATGAACTTGATGTTCCATATTTTGTTTTTGTTGTCATTGTACCATTGGGATTGGAATCTACTTTTCAATAGTGTGATCTTGGTAACCAGCAATTGCACTGACATCTTGTGTGGGCTTTCCCAGATTTTAATGGTGATGAGATTAAAATATAGCTGATCATACTTGAGATCTGACTCTGTGAAGCAGGATGAGGTGAATGTGATCTGGAAAGAGCCTGCAGTGGAAGGACACCCAGTGCTGGTAAATGGAGTCCTGTAGAAGATTGACGACTGCCTGCCTCACATTTTCATAGAGACTTGATGGACAATGGCTTTATTTATAAAAGGGAAAATCTCAAACATAATCAGTGGAAAAGGTATGGAATTCTTTGGTGCATCAGGTTCACTGCCTGCCAGATGTGATTCTTTTCTCCAAAGTCGTGTACTGCATACAGGCCACACAGGTGAACTCGGTCAGGGCTCCTTTTCCAGCTCACTGGCCGCCTTCTCACGTATTTGCGTTTACAACTTCCTTTACGAACGGAAACATTACCTGTAGTGAAGGTGCTGATATAAAGGAACAGAAGACTTAGAGAAATGGTTGCCTCCTGGCTGGGGTGGCAAGTCCATCTTGTAGAAGCTCGCCTTTTAGAAAGTTAAATAGGGTTAAAGAATAAGATTTATGAACCTTGTCCAACAATGTGATAAATGCTCAGTTGTTCTGAACTCCCCTTGGAGTATGGGTCAGCCAGATCATCTTCAGTGGAATGCCTTTGTTTTCTCTAACCACGAATCGGGGAATTGGTAATAACTTGAAGAGTGTTGTTGTTATTATCAAATATACAAGCAACAAAGCAAAAACTGCTCGGTTCACTGACCGAAAAGATTATAAAAATGGTCATGTTCAAAATAGAAGTTTCCAGCCAAGGTTAAGAAGACTAACCTTGGGCTAACCCCAAGTATCTCTTTCTTTTTAGATCCAGTAGCATCTATTGTAAACATATATTTCTTTTGAAACAAGATCATGTTCTGTAAACATACAGCTTTGACTAACTATTCATTCTTGTCATAATGGAAGGTTTCTATCTATGCAGATAATAGGTGTTTTTCGGTATTGTTTTCTGTGTAGTCCCCAATCTTCCTAACTCAAATTGGGGACTGAGGATGGCTAGTCCTGTTATAGTGCCATATTCTTCCAGCTGCTTCTCAGCCCAGAGTGGGGCCCTAGTGAGTATTCATTTACATCTCTGCTATATTGTGCATATCCTCCAAGTTAAAAGTTTCTGTCATTCTATATTAATTGAAGCCAGGAGTTGAATTTATTATTTTGTCTGAACATGTTTGTGATCGTGTATTATATTTTGGGGCATGTTACCTTGCTGGTATTATAAACTCTAGAGAATATTCGTTGTACTTCTAAAATCTGGTCAGTAATTTACATATAAGTGTTCCATATTTTAGTGTGCTTGAAGTGACAGTCCACTGTTTGTGGTAGTTTGTTACTTGTCAACTTGGACTGTCCTGTATTCTGAGGACATTTAAACATTCCTTGTCTTATCAAGGTGACAAAAGCAGAATGTAATTTTTTTGAGTCTTCGTGATTAATTGTAACAAGTTTTGTTTTTAAAACTAAAAATAAAGTTAGTGGTTTTCTTTTTTAATCAAGTCATTGAATTGAGTTCTTTGTGTATAGAATTTTCAGTAAGGGTCACTGATCTATATTTAATCTTCCCCCAGGGACATTTTTTTTTTTTTTTACATTCATCATCAGATAAAGTGTGGGAGGGAGAGAGGGAGAAAGAGAGAGAGAGAAACATTGATGTAGAGAGATACATCAAGTGGTTGCCACCCATATGACCCCAACCGGGGCCGGGGACAAACTGCAACCGAGGTACGTGCCCTTAGCGGGAACCGAACCCGGGACTCTCTGGTCTGCAGGCCAACACTCTAACCGTTGAGCCAGACCAGCCAGGGCAAGTATCACTGATATTTAGGTAATAATATTAAAAAGACAGAAAAATGAAATATTATGTTTGTTTCTTTAACTAGATTCCAGTTCAACTTGAATGCTGTGTTGTGCCAGAGTTAAAGGAGTTAACTCACTGCCAGCCCTGGAAATAACCACTATGGTTTGTGTCCTTCACCGAGAAAAGTTTTTAACCCTAGTTTGCTCCTCAGTTAAAAATAATTCATTCTCTCCTCCCTCCTTTCCCCTAAAAAAAAAAAAGAAAAAAGAATAATAATTCATTCTTATTAAAGGCTTATTTTCTATCTTGGTTTAAAAAAAAAATCTCCAAATACTGAAGCCAGAAATTACTGTAGAGGTTATCTAGTACAATGGGTTTTTTGTTGTTGTTTTAAGAATAGTTTATTGATTTTTAGAGAGAAAGAAGGGAGAGGGAGAAAGAGAATATCCACGTGAGAGCACAATATAAATCAGCTGCCTTCTGCATGCCCTGGTCCCCTACCAGGGATCCAGCCCGAAACCTGGGCATGTGCCCTGACAAGGAAATCCAACCGGCAGCCTTTCAGTGCAGAAGACACCCCCCAACGAACTGAGCCACACTGCCCAGGGCAACAATGTTTAGGTTATTTTATTTATGTATTTATTTAGTTAGTTAGTTTCTTTATTGATTTTAGAGAGAGAGGAAGGGAGAAGGGGAGAGAGAGAGAACCATCGACGAGTGAGAACATCGATTGGCTGCTTCCTGCATGCCCCCCACAACCTGGGCATGTCCCCTGACCAGGAATCGAACCAGCAACCTTTTGGTGCATGGGTCAACGCTCAACCACTGAGCCACACCGGCCAGGCACAACAGTGGTTTTTTTACACCTATTTTTAAGCCATAGAACTCTCTGTTCTTTGTTCAAATTAAATCTTATAGAAAAGCCCAATGTAAAACTGATTGTAGCCCTGGCCGGTTTGGTTCAGCGGTTAGAGCTTCAGTCTGCGGGACAACACTCCAGCCAGCTGAGCCACACTGGCCAGGGCTGCGGAACAGAGAGTACTAGGTTTGGTTCCCGCTAAGAGCATGTACCTCAGTTGTAGTTTGTCCCCGCCCCAGTTGGGGTTGTGTGGGTGGCTACCACTCAGTGTGTCTCTCTCATGTCAATGTTTCTCTCTCTCTTCCCCCCTCTCTCCCTCCTGCTCTATCTGAAGATAAATGCAAAATTGTCCTTGGGTGAGGATAAAAAAAACTGTAAAACAAAAGGGGAGGGTAAATAAAGCTGCTCCTTTTGAAGGGGGCTGGGGGAATGGGCACCTTAGGTCCAGCCTCTGTGAGATCTCACCAGAACAGTTCAAAACACTTCCCACTCTCAAAACCCCCCACTCACACCTTTACAAGTAAATGGCCCAAGAGGCATTGCCAAATTCACATATCTGGTCGGGAGCCCCCTGGGACTAGAATCTAAGTTTCTTGCCTCTGGTTCCAGCTTCTCTCTGTCACACCACTACAGTGTCAGACCGAAATCTTTTTCAGGAGAAGATGTGCTAGGATTCAGAGGTTCTTAAAATCTAGGGGGTTTTGTTTGTTTTAATAAAACTAGAGTAGCTGGCACATTTCCATTTTAACACACTTTTCCAAGCTGTGTTCTGTGGGGCTGCCTCCAGGGGGAGCTGAGCTTCCTGGTCACCAGGGCTGGCTCCCCTGTACCACAGATGACCTTAGAATAAGATTTCACTCGACCTAAGGGTCCTTGGATAAAATGGCAAGTTGGAAAACCACTGCAAATAACCCAAAGATAAAACTATTTTTTATGTATTTTAATTTTAAGATAAGTTTTAAATGCAGAATAGAAAATACAAGAATAAAGGTTTAAGTAATTTACCTCAAAGTAAACTGACTTAAAACTTAAATTCAACAATGTGTGTATTAGAGATTCTTTTATCACCAAGAAACATGTTAAAAGAGCAAGAGGGAGCAGTAACTCAATTCTGCTTTCACTGAACACACCAAAATATGGCTCTCTCATCTAGAAGGAGAAAAAAAATAAATTCTGAAGCACATAGGAAAGATCTCAAATCTTGCCAAACTTGCTCTGGTCTTCTGAGACACAGGTGGTGTAAAATACAAGTCATTTGTAGGTTAAGTATTTAAGTTTTGATTGATTCATTTTAGAGAGAGAGGAAGGAAGAGAAAAAGAAACATCAGTGTGTTGCTCCACTTATTATGCATTCATTGGCTGATTCTTGTCTGTGCCCTGACCAGGGACTGAACCGGAAACCTTGGTGTATGGGGACGATGCTCTAACCAACTGAACTGTCCAGCCAGGGCACAACGTTGATTTTTGTTGTTGTTCATCTTCACCCTGGGATATTTTTCCACTGATTTCCTCTTTGAGATAGAATGAAAAGGAGGGAGAGTGAGAAAGAGAAACATCAATGTGAGAGAAACACATTGATTGATTGCCTCCCCCTTTGGTCCATGGGCTGATGCTCTAACTGCTGAGCCAAACTTGCCAGGGCCAGGGCTAGGTTAGGTATTTAAATAGTGTCTCAAAGTATGTTATTTGGGAAAAGTTTGTTGTCCAAATGTTTGGAAAAGTTAAACTGTTTCTATATTGCAATGCTTAGAAGGGGACCAAAGGTGTTTTTTTTTGGGGGGGGGCGGTATTGATTTTTAAGCTCATATTTAAGAAAAGACTCAGAGCCCGGCCCATGTGGCTCAGTGGTGGAGCATCGACCCATGCACCAAGAGGTCACCAGTTCGATTCCTGATCAGGGCACATGCCCAGGTTGTGGGCCAAATCCCCAGAGCAGGGCATGCAGGCGGCAGCCAATCAATGTTCTCTCTCATCAGTGTTTCTATCTCTCCCTCTCCCTTTCTCTCTAGGAAAAAAAAAAAAAATTAAAAAAGAAAAAAGTCTCAGAAAAGCCCTGACTGGGTAGCTCCGTTGTTTAAAGAGTCATCCGCATACACCAAGGTTGTGTGTTCGATCCCTGGTCTGGGCACATACAAGAATCAACTAATGAATACATAAACAAATGGAGCCCTGGCTGGTTTGGCTCAGTGGTTGGAGCATTGGCCTGCAGACCAGAGAGTCCCAGGTTCGGTTCTCGCTAGGGGCACATACCAAAAAAAAAACAAAACAAAACAAAAACAAGTGGAACAACAGATCAATGTTTATTTCTCATGCACGTGCTCTCTCCCCCACTTCTTCTCTCTCTAAAATCAAAAGTTTTTTATAGTAACATAAAATGAGGAACTTGTTTGTTAAAGGATTAGTCATGTCAATCAAACTTCCAACAGAGCTGGAAGAGGCCTCAGACCAAACAGTCCAACCTGCCGCTTTCCAGATGAGAAAACAGAGGCCAGGGAGATCGGGTGACTGGCTGGGGTTCCTGACGCCTGGAGCAGCCTCTTTCACTCTCTTTCTGGAAAATGTTCCTGGAGGCAAAATGGGAATTAACCCCGGAGCAGGACAATGGCTCGTGGAAGAGGTGCCTGCCTCATCTGGATCTTGTCCCTGGGTATCACATGTTTATCTGGGGAACAGCCACCAGCAAAGTCGCACTGTGTATGACTGAGCTGTAGATATTTAAGAACCATGACTTCTTGTGGCCTTTGCTCCTCTCTCCACCTCCTTGGCTGAGAGGCAAGGAATTGATTTCACAATCAATTGGCCTAGGTTTGTTTGTTTCCTCTTTTTTTCTTTGGACTGGATTAATCAGTGTGGATTGACTGTCTCTGGATTCATGATTCTCTGTGCTTCGTCTCCCTCCTGAAATTGCATTCTAATCCTGCATGACATTTGTCTGGTTTCCCCAGCAACCATCTCAAAAGCCATAAACAGCAGATTAATGCTTTGAGGGGATAAGCGAGAGACTTCGTAGTCCTGGCCAGGAGATAAAAAGCCAGGTGCTCAAAGGCTGGTTTGCAGCAGTGTCCTCCACTAACAGGAAAGGGAGAAACACCCTCTGCTAATGTGCATTTGAGTATTTCCATAAGGAAAAAGCAGGGGGTGTGTGTGTTATTTTTAAATCTCCCAGCATCTAAGAATCCATATGGTACATCTGAAACAGGTGTGGTTTGTTGGGTAATTTCCTAAGCAATTTAAGTTGACTTATGAAACTGTTTTATATAAATATCATCTTTACCAAAAAAAAAAAGGACTTGGAAAATCACCACACTTTATTTATATTCCACCAAATTCTCTTCAAATCTTAATCAGTATACAGACACATTTTATATAGTTGTCAGAATTTGCACATACCCTTTCCACTTTATTTATACACTCTTATGGAAAAACACACTCTTGTGTCTCCTCTACTTGAAATACCCTGCTTTATTTCTGACACTTGAACCCTTTCAGTCTGCGGGACAACACTCCAGCCAGCTGAGCCACGCTGGCCAGGGCTGCAGCTGTAATCTGATTCACCACTCTGGGAGTGCTCCGAACCCTGTTTTGAGTTTTTATGGAGGCTTCATTATGTAGGTGTGATTGATTAAATCATTGGCCATTAGTGACTGAGTCAACCTGCAGCCCCTCTCCCTTCTCCAGACTGGGGAAGCGGGCACTGAAAGTTCCCACCCTCTAATCACTTGACGGATCCTGGCATCCAACTTCCATCCTTACAGTAGCTAGAGAATTCCCAAATATCACTTCATTAATATAAACTCAGGTGTGGTTGAAAGGGGTTTGCTGCCCTGGCCGGTTGTTCAGTGGTTAGAGCGTCAGCCCGCAAACCAGAGAAACTCGGGTTAAGTTCCTGCTAAGGGCATGTACCTCGGTTGCAGTTTGTCCCTGGTCCTGGTTGGGGTCGTGTGGGTGGCAGCCAGTCAGTGTGCCTCTCTCACGTTTATGTTTCTCTCTTCCTCCTCTCTCCCTCCCCCTCTCTCTGAAGATAAATGCAAAAATGTCCTTGGGTAAGAATTAAAAAAAAACAAACCTAGAAAGAAAGGGGTTTGTTATGAGTAACAAGACATCCATTTCACCTTTATCATTCTGGAGCTATTTCAGGACTGCGGACAAAAGTCAAATAGAGCAAAAAATGCCCCTGTTGCTCTAATTATTTAGGAATTACAAAGATTTTGGGAGCTGTGAGCCAGGAACCATGGGTGAAGACCACAGTGTATATTTCCTTTTGTTTTCTGTTGATCCTCACCTGAGGATACTCTTTGTATTGATTATTTTTAGAATGGAAGAGGGAGAGAGAGAGAGAGAGAGAGAGAGAAACATCAATTGGTTGCCTCCTGCACCTACCCCAGTAGTAAACCCGAAACCTAAGTTCGTGCCCTTGACCTGGAATCGAACCTGCAGCCCTTTGGTGCACAGGCCAACACTAACCACTTAGCAACACTGTCCAGGGCCAAAGTATATATTTCTTATTATAACTCAAAACATCACACACACACACATCTCCAGGAGTTGGAAATGCCTGGATATTTGCATGTCTGGTGCCTTGACTTTAAAGCACAGTTGGCTTGGTCATTTTCCATCACTTGGAATTGTGGTCATTTTTTTATATATATACATAGAATTTAACTTAATAGTTTTGTTCCCTTTGCTTGATGTGGCCCTTGGTTTGCTTGAGAAATAAGTCAAGGGCAATGGGTTAGGCTGGTTCTCGACTGGGAGCTAGGGGACCTCTGCCTTTACTTGTGACACTTTGGGAACATTTCCCTGCCTCCGTGGGCTCAGACTCTGGGTAAAACATACAGGGGAGACCTGAAGGTCTCTGAGTTGCATCCAGCTCAGCCAGAGGAGGGATCAGTGATTCTGCTCAGGGCATGAATTGACTCATCAGTAACCAAACTGCCCCATGGTGTTCTTTGTTTTTAATATTTTTATGGAGGAGGGGTGGGGAAGGGGGCTGGGAAAGTTGAAAAAAATAAAAAAAAAAAATATATATATATATATTATTGATTTGGGGTTTTTTTGTTTTTTGTTTTTTTGTTTTTTAATCCTCACCCGAGGATATTTTTCCATTTTTTGTACAGATAGAGTGGGAGGGAGAGAGAGACAGAAACATCGACGTGAAGGGACACATCGAGTGGCTGCCACCCGCATGACCAACCAGGGCCGGGGACAAACTGCAACCGAAGTACATGCCCTTAGCGGGAACCGAACCCGGGTCTCTCCGGACCGCAGGCTGATGCTCTAACCGCTGAGCCAAACCGGCCAGGGCTTGTTTTTGTTTTTTTTAAGAAAGGAAGGGAGAGAGAAACATCGATGTGAAAAAATATCATCCAGCTACCTCCTGCACGCCCCCTACTGGGGATCAAGCCTGAAACTCAGGGACGCTGTCTCCACCTGGAATAGAACAGGGATTGTCAGTCCATGGGACCACACTTAGTCCACAGCCACACCAGCTGCTGTTCTTTGTTTTTCTTTTTAAATTGAATACAGTTGATATGTAACATTGTTTAAGGTGCAAATGTGTTACTTTGTTACATTTTATATTGTAATATAATTGCAGATACAGCAATATTTACCACATTGCATCATTATAGGACAATATTATATTCCTTACACTGTGAGTTCCCTCTCTACGCTTACAAGTCTGCACCCTAAACATCATCACACTTATCCACCCCTACCCCCTGGTAACCACCATTTTACTGATTTTTACAGGTTTAACTTTTAAATTTATTTTTTGTTATTTTTTTGTTAATCCTCACCCAAGGATATTTTTCCATTGATTTTTAGATAGAATGGGAGAGAGGGAGGGGGAGAAAAAGAGGTAGAAACATCGATGTGAGAGAGAGACACTGATTGGTTGCTTCTCGCATGACCCAGACTTGGGCAGGGGATCGAACCTGAGACCCTTTGGTGCTTGGGCCAACGCTCTAACCACTGGGCAACACCAGCCACAGCCGGAGATAACCTCTTTTAACCCATCTATAGAGCAGGGCAAGCATCCGTTGACTAAACATCTGCTCTTCTTATGGTCCTGCAATAACCCCTCCCTCCCTAAGGAGGAGCTCCTGCCCTCCCAATGACAAGACATTATTTCCTTCATAGAACTTTCCACAGATTGTCCTTCTCTTGTGTTACTATCTTTTCTGGTTGGGTATCAACTGTTCCCTGACCTTCACTGGAAGGTGAGGTCTACAGGGTACGGCAGGCCCCCCACTAACTGCCCTACCTTGCAGAGTGCCTGGCCTGTAGTGAACATTCAGAAGGACTTGAAGAATAATAAACAGATGAAGGTTAGCCTGAGCCTTTTTATGCTTCTACCTCACTGGGCTTGGCTCTGGGATCTGACCCAGGTCAACTCTATTTGGAGGAGGCCTGTGAGAGTTTCCTTCCCAAATCTCTCTCTCTCTTTTTTTTTTAATCCTCACTCGAGGACATTTTTCCTTTTTTTTTTTTTTTGCTCAGATAGAGTGGGAGGGAGAAAGAGAAAGAGAGAGAGAGAGAGAAACATAGACGTGAAAGGAACACATCGAGTGGCTGCCACCCGCACGACCAACCAGGACCGGGGACAAACTGCAACCGAGGTACATGCCCTTAGCGGGAACCGAACCCGGGTCTCTCTGGATTGCAGTCCGATGCTCTAACCACTGAGCCAAACCGGTCAGGGCTCCTTCCCAAATCTCTTGCAGTAGGTATGTTCAAACCTATTCTGCTTGGTTGGTTTGGGTTAAAGGAGAAAGAAGGTATAGTACAGCCATGGATGACAGGGCTGAAGACCACCAAATCTTGCAGAGGGGACCTGCCCAGAGGTGCCAAGGTCCTTTCTGTCCCCCTCACCAGCCCCTACCATTAGCATAATAATTCTATTGGTCCAGCCTTTTGCAAGCATTATCACATTTTTAATCCTCACCACAACTATACCGAGGTAAGTACATTATCTTCATCCAACGGAAAGAAACTGCTCCTGCCTTGCGATTGATAAGCAATAGAGTCAGGATTGGAACCTGAGACCGCCTGAGTGCCAAGCCCTTGACCCCATGCACAATCCAGCAAGAGTTTCTGGAAGCGGCTTCAAGTGGCCGCACAGGTCTCAGATCCCAGGGCCAGAGCACTAACCGGGCTCTCTGTTCCTTCAGAGCACCCTCGCTGTAGACGGATTGGCCTCTCCCACTGCGGGGAAGCTCTGCAAAGCCAAGGGTTGACCTTGTGTCTTTGGTGAAGAAGTAGGATCACAGACTTACACGTCCTAATCCATCCTTGGTAACGAAGACCGACTTGGAGTTTCCTATGAAAGCACAGTGGACTCTCAGTTCTCAGAGCTGCAGGAAGTTGAGGCCTCCACTGCATCTCAGACACCCGGGGCCAAGCAATAGGCCCTCACCAAACCAAACACTTTCTGGAAATGATTTGAAACAGAATGAGGAAACCTGGCCGTACTCCTGGTTCTGTGGCTCACCTGCTGTGTGACTTTGGACAACTCACCCTGCTTCCTGAGCCTCAGTTTCCCTGTTTATGAAAGGAGAGGGATTGAGATTCCCCTCTCTAAGGTGTCTTCCTTCTTTTCAGTCAGTGTTGATTGAG